GACTTTTGGCACGGGAGTCTTCAATGCTTGAATTCACTTGCACAGGTAATTGTTAGAGAAGCCTTTCCAATTCAGTCATTATTTATTTAAATGAAATTCCTAATTTTCCTTTCTCAACGAGACTCTCAACTCTCCTTCCTAACTCTACGAATCGATCGCGTAAATCCATATACGAATCCAGAATTCTAATTCATATTTCGAATTATGCGAAGCGTTCTACCATATCCGAGAAGATATAATTATATCTATAAGGAATATAAAATATCTATATATTATTCAGATATATATCATGAATATAAGTATATAAATATAAATAAGAATCTTTAATTTTCATTTATGAATTATTTCTATTCTTTTCCGAGAGAGTCTCTTTATATATTTTCTTTTTATCGTAGCTAAGAAATAATAAATAAATTTTAAAATCTTTTATTAGAAATACGAAGCTAAATACGATTCAAAGAATTCGTAAATAAAATATAGAATTCATATATCGAAATCAATCGATCCAGATAATATTAGACTCGAGATATATATAAGCAAGATTCTTTTCAAAAGAGATTTCAGGGCTTCAATTAAAATTAAAATAATAGAATTCAGTTATTGAATCTTCACTACCAATTGAAAATAAGTTCCAAGAAAATCAAGCAGTATGCAGATATATAAGAAATTCCCAGGGCAAGCGAAACGACCTAACCAAGCACATTATATCGGTTTCATTCCTGTATGAACGAGACTGAAATCTTGAATTTCGAGTTCTATCACTGCACGCTCACAATATCACGGTGCCCGTACTTTTTGGTCAATCGGTAAACCTCTCTGCGAGGAATGCGTGGTCCAAAGCCTGCAGCTCGAACAACATACTCGAGAATTCGGACCTCTGGCCATCTCAGGCAGCGACGTTTTTGGCTGAAGGACGTTTCGATGGATCCAGGATCAGGAGTGATGCAGTGAAATCTGCCAGCGACCTGTGCATTGTGCATGGGATTTGCGACGACAATGCGCCGGCCATCCACAAAGGACAATCATCACACATGCCGCCTATGCTGCTTCTGCACCGTCTGATGCAAAGGCCTTTGTTGCCGGACCTGTCCAGAAGCAGTCGTTCCAGATTCTGCTCCCCCTATGTCGGTGGAAGCTGGCTCATGCCTGCTCGTCATTGGCCAATATGCCAACATATATTTCGGCCGATCGTACTCTGATTTTGGAAACCAACGGATCAGCAACATAGCAACAATGTCACGGCCACTGGCGTTCGTGCCAGCTGTGCCGAACTTGGTTGCTTCGGGGATATGGATGCACAGCATGGGTGTGGTTGGTGTCGATGGTTCTGACTCCCAAGACTCGGGCATATAACTCAAGCGATCTCGCCGAAGCACTTTTCAAGTCCTTCTGAACTTACCTCTTGAAAGGCACAGCCTTGCCGATGAACTTATCCCTAAATCTCGATATTGCGTGGTGCTTGGTGTTTCTCCCCTTCCACGGCACGGGGAAGCGCCTTGTTGCTCGACGATTCTGACAGTGCTCCCTCCGGCCAGCGAAGTCGCCAGGCCTCTGAAGGGTCCTCGGAAGTCGGAAATCCTGTGTTACTTCTTTGGCGGCAGAATTCACCTCAAAACCCCTAAGCGGCAATGCCTTGACAACAAAGCGATCGTTGTGATTCCCCCCTGCTTTCGCAAGCAGCGTCTGGGGAAACCTCGAAGCGATGAAGTGCTGCGCCGAAGCGACACACAAACTCCAGCAGCTTTAAGCTCTGCCTCTCCAACACCCGCTGCATCAAAGCCAGATGCTCCAAGCTCTCGTGCGTGCGAAACCTGGGAAATTGCAAAAATACAAAATACTTTCCGACCAAGATGTCCGATGTGCAGATAAGCAGCAAAAGCTCTCCAGTGTAGAGCTCTGAAACAATACATCCAATAGACCACAAGTCAGACAATTCATTCCAACCTGGAGGTTGCAACATTGCAAGACTCTGCGGAACGTCAGCTGTTGTAGTCCACCAACGTTTCAGGCGAAACCGGTGCTCGCAGACTCTCGGCTGCTCAAGTTTCGCAGGTGGCGTCTAGGACCACTTGGGGCACCACCCAGTGAGAGGATTACCTCTGGTGCCCGATACTGCCTGTCAGTGCAATCGACTGGCTCGGCAAAGTCACGTATTTGCTGGCTCTGCAGCAGGCTTGAGTGCAAACCCGGAGACCCTGGTACTTGGAAGCAGAGCTTCTTGCCCGCCTGGTGTTAATGATGGAGGAATGGTGTTCGAGCTCGTAAGTCGCGTTTCCTGTCAGTCATGTGACATGTGTCCGTGAGTGCCAGTGCAAGCTCAACGAGCACGAATGCGTAGAACGGAGTCTCTGAGCCAATGGCCGAAATCAATAAGTGTGATCTCCGTAGACTGCGGACGGACCTCAGCAGAATATGGGCGGCAAACATGCCGCCTGAGAACTCTGCCATCGTCTAGCAGCCTAGCGTTCTGTGTTGTTGTGTCCTGTGTGCACTCTGCTGGACTATGCTCCAGGTGCAGCCGGCAATGCAGCAACACGGTCAAAAGCTACCAAGTCCATGTGCAGTGCATACAGTAACATGCGCAGCTCAGCCGGCAAACCGACTCAAAGTGCACATCTTAGTGTGCCACGTACCCACCTCCGGATCGCCGTGACGACGATGACGAGGACTGCGATTGCCAAAAATCCTCGAAAGTCATAGAGCAAAGGTTCAGACACAGCCGGGGGAGGATGCGTGGATGGCCTCGCGAGGAAACTGTGCTGGCAATGGTGCTTCTGATGATCGAAGAAGCACCTGTGCGTCGCAGTGCAGACTGCGGCCGGGCCGCGAGTCAAGCATTGCCGCTCAGCGTCGTTTTCGAGCTTCAAGTCGGTATGCGTGAGGTTGAGGTCGGCATGGAGAAATCGCAGAGCTTCCAAGCACTGTTTGGAAATGCTTTGTATGTCCTGCGGCCATGGGAGACATGGAGCCATTCTGGGAGAGATGCTCACACAATGTCCTGTACCCAAAGTCCACGGTATTGATTTTGTTTCAGTAGATCATACAACGACATGCCCAAGGCCTGAGATCGCACAAACAAGTCTAGATGGGCATCATGTCAACAGTACAAGAAAAAACTGATCCTGCTTTTGGCGAGGCCTCGCACACCAAACAGAACAGTCTCTCTCCATCAGCTTCATGGAAGAAAGTTTCATGCAGGCGGACCTCAATTGCAGAGTCCATGCGTCCACGAAACGTGTCAGCTTACTAGCAGCCTGACGGCCTGACGGATCGTTCGTATCATGGTTGCGCCGGACACTGGAAGCTGAGGTCATTGCACAGCCGTGGGATTGCTTCGGGTCTGCTGCCCGTATGTCCTCCAACGGATCAACGAAGAGCCACAGCTGCTGAGTGGGCAACACGCTCATGCACTCGTAATACTCGTACTCATCCTGCAGGATCTCTGCTTCGCGCATCGCATTACGTGTGTATTTTGCCACCTCAGCCCGGGACCGGCGCACTAGCACACCACGTTTAAGCCGCCAGTCAAGAAATGCTTGTTGCGAGGCATTTCGTGTGCATGGCAGCTGCTATGCCGATTGACTTGCAACCCCTCATTGTTGGACTGTACTGAGGTCGGCTCGTTTCGGATGATCTTGATGGCTACTTGTCGATTTCGCTTGCAATCCTTTGCTTGCAGCACGCGGCCGAACGTACCATCACCGAGGAATTTGCTCACGACGTAGCGGGAGTTCATTTGCAAACCCACACGCCACCTCGGTTTCAGGAAATTGGTGGTTTCAAGTCAGCTCCACCACATTATTGTGCACTGCAGTGCCCACAGCCAGAGCTTGAGTCCATGCTGAGTACAGAGCTCGAAATGCTGCACCTCATCCTTTTCCAGACGAGGACCAGCCTTGTCAGCCTTTTTGGGCTCCGAGACTTCCGAGTACGAGTAGTCCGAGTCGGAGTCCGAGGTGTATGTGTCCGTGCAGCTGCTGACCGACAGAGGCTGATTTAGATCCGCCGCTGTCTTTTGACGCTTTTTGCTCCGGCTGCGGCTTTGCCTGGTGCTTTTGCGGCTGCTGCCATACCCGAGACCTTGCATGTCTCAGTATCATCTCGCGATCGACGGCCAGCTCGGTCTGGGAGGCAGCCACATCGGTCGGTGGAGCCTCCTTACAGTTGTCTTCCTAATGGTTACCTTCGTTTTGGCTTGGCACGTGCTGAACGACCCTTTTCGCCGCACGACATCGGCACTTCAGCTCGAAGGGCCTTCTAGACGTGTCGTGCGAGACAAACCACTGACTATATTGAGATGCTGCTTGCAAAAAGCTTGGACCTTCAACATGTCTCTCCTGCAGGCTTATGGTCAAAATGAAAGTAGTGTCACAGTGTCACACTGTGGGGGCGAAGCTCATTTAGCCAGGCTGGCTACAACCCAGTGTGCATCTTTTCGAACGATGCCGGAGTGGGCGTTTTTGGTCTGCGGCTGCTAAACGCAGATAGTGGCACTACATGCCTGGGCTGGTGATCTTTGTGCGTCCTCGGAAACAGACTTTCCCACTAGAGTCTTAACCTTTATGCCAAATGCACGAACAGTTCGAGGAAGCACAAAGACTAGCATTCCGGATTAACAAGGTTGCACTTGCGTATGCAAGCGTCTTGAAAGCACATGCCCACTGGTCCGGTTTGCAACACACCCTCGCCAGCAGTTCTAGATAACTCTGTGCCAAGTTGAGACGAGGAGTGTGGCACAGTGGATGACAAGGGTCAAATTATTCAGCTTCTGGCAGCATTGCGCTGCACTGCACCCACAGCATCATGCCAAGCATGCGCTGCTTGGCCAACTTGGAGAATCTGCCGTGACCCCGTCTTTCTAATGCAATGCTTCATATGGACATCATGGAGCAGTGTGTGCTTCTTGGTTGCTCTTTGGGTCAGTGCTGACCGTCATGCATTGGATTTGCGCGCTATTCTCGAGCAAAACCCTGCACCCAACTTTCCAGAAAAAGTCGGAACTAAGAGCTGTCATCCTGGACCTCCTCTTTAGCAGCCTCTTCTGCCTGGACTTGCTCCGGTGGTGCTTCACTCCCCTGTGTCGCATCTTCGTCTTTGTCATCATCTTCATCGGCAAGGTCAGCGGTGACATTCGTCTCATTCTCTTCCATGTCCTGCAAGCATCCTACAGCTCGTCACTGCATGGCTGACACTCGCCTGCGCAAACCAAACACTGCTTTACGAAACTGCACGGCCGACAGGCTTCGGAAGGCCATCTAAGTACCGTCCGCACCCGAGCATCCGTCGACCTCTGGGACGCAGGGCTCTGTTTGAGACCATCCCTTCCTGAGTATTATCGTATGAATAGGATCGTGTCGTTGACGTCCCACTGCCACAGCACGGCTACTGTCGCTTCCAAGCCAAAGCCATGAAAGCCAAAAGCCAGTCCCTCAGTCCTTTTCCTTCTGCAGCTCCTCCACACTGGGCAACGCCTGCTTTTCGGAGCCTGGCCTGGGTGCGTCAAACAACCGCCCTGAGCCTTGAGCTCAAGAGCTAAGGCAGCTGAGGGAGCTAAGAACGTCACAGGGCGGTGAGCTTGTCTACACCCCATGCCAGCACATCGGCATAGGAGCTTGTGACCAGGTCCTGTTGGCAACGGGAAACCACGCGACTTTCTCGGCACCACGCGCTTACGGCTCAGATGCCAGTCCTGCACATCCTCAAAAGATGTTGTTTCTGCAATTTGCTGGATCGCCACGGCAGCAATGCCCAAGCTACCGAAGCGAACTAGAAGCATCAAGGCGTCATCCTTTCGTTTCTCCCAGGAATACAGAGGCTGGAAAGAGTCCAGGAATCCGCAGTACCTCAACAGCTTTCAAACCGTTTAGATTTGAAGACTTGTCCTGAGATCGCTGTCAAGAGCTGAGGCAAGAGCTCATCGTTCAGGTTTGGGAAAATCCAGAAATCAAAGCCAACTATCCAGAACATGGTGAAGATCAGCATGCGCAGGATGAGGACGCCGAAGTACAACGTAAGAAATATCACGCTCAAGTACCACACACCCACCTGCGTACAAGCGAAGCAGCGGCGAGAAAGTGAACAACGACTCTTGCAACTTCTAGGTTGGGGCACAAGCGTCTGGATGCCTTGGCCCACATTGGCCAGACAGGAAACATGCACGCGAGGAGGACTCCAGCAATGATCAATCCCAGCAAAAAGTGCTGCAGACCGCTGCCGCCCTCGTATGTGATGACGTAAAACCTCACAGCACAAGCCGGACAAGATCGTGAAGAACCTATTGTGCTGTCACAAGGAGTCGGCTACAAACAACTTCCAAGAAAAGCATTCTGGCCATCGTTGCGACTTGACATGACCCCACAGTCTGTACATGTTGCCCCGGTTCCTACCCACGGTCAGGTGGCGTAGACCTTGGACCGAGGCCGGGGCCCTTCAGAGTCGAAGGTCTGGTTGGGCGTCCGGCCCAATCTGTCAGGCCACTTCTTGGGCTTCTTCTCCGCGCCATCATCAGACTTGGACGTCGGGTTAAGGGGCTTGTACATGGCCTCGCTGCGACACTCGCGAGATCATCGACCGCAATCAAGTGAGATCTCACTCTGCACAGCTGTAGGACTTCCAGCCTTGTAGCAGAATTTTCGGTCAATCAGCTCTTGGCCCAGCCGAACTACATCCTGATCAGTCTGCGGAACCTGGCCGTCCAAAGCTTCTTCCAGCGCTTTGGGGCACTTCTTTGTCAAGATCCCTTCACTTTCCAGCAGGAACTTCTTGAAGTCTTTCCCACGGAAATAATCCACTTTCTTGCGCCCGACCTGCAAATCTGCAGCATTTTGGAGTTGAGGAGCAGACCACGCACACAAACACGTTCTCATACTCTCTAACTCTCACACACACACACAGCACCAACTGCAGCTGAGCCCTGTGCTTCGCTTGCTGTCTTTGTCTTTATGCCCTTCTTGCCTAGAAGCACCTTCATGAGTGGTTCAAACGTTGGGTCCCATTCGGGCTCCTTCTCATTTTTGCTTCGCCCTTAGCTCCAACTGACTGTCGAACCTTGACTGATGCTGCAGGTCTACCATTGTGCATGAAAGCCTGACTGCAGAGGAGGGTGCTGAACATCGCTCTCGGCAACGAGTCCCAGAATCTGTCAAAACCTGGAGCCCTGCTAAACTCTGCCGAGCTTTGGGCCAAACCCACAGCAGAAGGGTCGATTACTCTGATCGCCTGCGGGTCTTCATTGAATGTGCGGAATGGGTCGAATGCGTCAGGGAGTGGTTTTCCTGTTAGGAATGCAGAAGAACGATTTGCCTGTACACATGCACACTAATTGGCTGCATCGCCCGGGTCTGAGGTTCTCCTAAGTCAATTCCAGCACAAGCCCAAAGAGGGAGGAAGCAGCGGTGCAAGATAGTTCCGTGCACGAGGACCCCCATCTGTACAGCAACTAGCGAGAGGTGGACGAAGTGGAAAGCCAAGTTCAGCACTGCTCATTTTCCGTGTCTCAATGAGGTCACTGACCTGCTCTCTTCAAACATCTCATAATCGCCCGCCCAAACCAGGCAGCTCATGCCTTTGCAAACAAACCGACCTTGAAGATGCAGGTTTCGTAACGCTCGCACTTCCGTTCGTCAGCGATCGCAAGTGGCGCTTCGGCTTGCCACCCGTTGTACACTGGCTGACCTGAGAGAACACGTAGGGAACTGCGCATGAGAAGCAGTATGAGTCGAGTCCCGAACCTGCGAGGCGAAGCGCAAGGAGCACAGCGTCTCGTGTGAGTGATCCGCTTCGGGGCTGACCGTAACCAGCATCAAAGTCTTGCCCTGACCGTTCAAGCAGGGCCTCAGTGTGAAGCGTCTGATTACATCACTTCAAGGAGTCGTCGTGCAAGTGCCAGGCTCCATCAGATGTGTCCTGAGATGGGCTGAAGCTCTGCCAAAATGTCATCACAGCCATGTTTTGAATCAACTCCTTTGCAACCTGTGTAAGGGTACTCTGGCATTGCTGTCGTGGATCAGCTTCGAGTTGCGGAAGGGAATGTGGGATCGCCCTTCGGCTTTGGCAAGAAACACATCTGCCAAGCTTGACCTGCAGCTTTGCATCCTCTGCCCTTTTACACTTCATGTCTGCAAGGGAAAGACAAGGGAATGCTGATGCAGCATCGTGCACCGAGGAGTTTGCAAGCTCCTGTTGATGTTCTGGGTCTCTTTGAGCCTGTCGCCAGTCGAGCCTGACCTTATGCCAGAACTCGCCGCACCCAAACAGGTCCCCCCTCTGCTTTATGGATCTTTACATCTTCTGGTGAACTAAATATGACTGTGAACTCCAAGGAATCAGAATTCTACACTCATGGACTCATGGCATGTCACGCAAGCACGCGCAGATCTTCTATGCTGTTGTCGACCTCAGCCTGTGGCTTGTCGAGCCGCTCAGATCCCGCGAGATCTACCAAGTGCAGTGCTCCATGCAATTCCTGGAGTCCGGCTCGACGGCAGCTCAACCCGGTCGCTGAAAGGCTTAGGCCCCTGGCAGAATGCTGCTCTCGGTTGACACCGTGGAGGTACAAAGCGAATATCGAATGCGAGCGGGAGGATGATGCGTTCATGTCAGTTGCACCAACCTTCACCAAGGTGGAATGTCGTGCAATGCATGGGCACGTGGCCAGAAGCAGGCCAGGCACGGATCGAGCCCTGGCTGCCGTCTCCATAAGTTTGCTGATCTGCTCCATGTGAGAGACCTCTGGGGGGCTGTCGGCTGTGGTCGTCTTTTAGCCCAGCAAAGCAGCGAGCGCCTCCATCAGTGTCAGATTGGTCACGCAAGTGCCCCAGGCGTCGTCGTGTTTGATGACATGAACCAGTTGGCTTCCATCGCTGCCCAACAAGTCGCGGAGCACCTGGAAGACTTGCAGATTTTTCAGCACTTTGCCCGCTTGCCGGCGCTTCCAATCCGTGCCTCGTTGTAGACTTCCAGGAAAGAAACTTTAAGAGTCCATGCCCAGCCTAGTGCCGGCAGCGATCAACATCCGCCCGCTCTAGAGTGGTGGTTTGAAGCTCTGGCCTGAGGCCTTCATGGCTTCAGATGCCCGCAGAATCTGCTGCACTGATCGCGGAATAAGACCTGAATCGCTCAATGCTCGCCAGTGCACACGACTTATCAAGTTAGTGTCTTCAGATCGTGGCCAAGTGCACCAGGCGCGGAGGAACCCTGCATTGTGTAGGTTTTTCCAGAACCTGTTTGGCCGTACCTGAACAGATTCACCGCTGCAAAGCAGCTTCTTGTCCCAGTCCGAGAATGCTGAGACCACAGCGCGAAAATCGAAACCTTGAACCCGTCCTGACACTGATGTGATCGTGCTGCTCACTCCATCCAAAAAGGGACTTTGGGCTTAAATGTCGTGCTGCTGGGTTCGAAGAAGTGTTGTCTCTTCTGGACTGCACATTCCATTTGCAGCATTTCTGGCGCAGCTCAGGCTGTTGCCAGTGCAGACTGGACAAGGCCGCTGACTTCCTCGAAGATAGCCTCGCGCTGCAAAAGCAAAGACAACGACTTGAGGTCTCTCTTCCGGTGTGTTTCTCGTGGGTTGTTGGTCTACAAAACCCTTTGAGATTGTTTCATGGCGCCCATGCCTTAGCTGCAGAGTTGCACGATTGCAAAGGCTGCAGCGAAGAGAAACTGTTATTCATCACAAGTTCATGCACTACTGGCATTCTTTGCTGCAGAAGACTAGCCCTTAGCACAGGGCTGGCAAAGTGGGCTTGCCGCTTGGGATGAGATCATGGCTTACCCCGAATCAATGTCGTTGAAGGGGCAGATGTCAGAAGCAAGGACCGGCCTCCTGGGAAGAGCTCTCGGAGAAGATGCGGTCGAAGCTGAAGCCGTGAAGCTCGTTCATGTAGTCCAAGTTGAGCTTGTTCTGTCGCATTGCGGGTGGATGCACGCGGACATTGGGATGGATCCTAGAGGGCCTCTGCAATCTGCAAGTGTTGCGCTGCAGCTTGCTGATTTCCGACTTGTGGCCGCACGCGACAAAAGACTCGGATGTTTCCCTTCAGCTCCTGATCCACGGGAGGGTTCGACAAAATAATCGTGGGCTGCCAGGCCATTATCAGCTTTAGCACGGAGGCCACGAAACAGTCGACAATTTGTAGAAGAACTTCGACTGCTTCAGGGGCCATGAACCACACCGTGCAACTTCTTGGCTGCACCAAACACTGGTCGCACTGGCTGGAGAACCAGGACATGCCCTGAATTCAGGGCATTCGTGGGGACCCTGGTGTGCAGCAAGCTGCCTCCCACCTATGACCTAGCTTGCAATGGTTCTACGGCTGCGGCTGCCAATGGCCAATGTCTGTCCGGAATTGGGCCCATCGCTCCTGAATGACGTTGTGCAGCTCTCGGCGTGTGCACTCGGCACAGGCCAGCTGACTCTCCAAAGACTGGATGTAACCTTGCAGATGTCATCAGATGTCTATCTTAGAGGCATTGCCAGGGGCACTTGCTGGAAGCCGGCCTTGATGACGCGACAGGCTGCCCTGTTGGTTGTGGAGCTCCGCTTTTGTGCATTCCACTTGTTTGCTAAGTTTGTCCACCTCGGCCATGGAAGCGCAAGTGTTGAGTGCTCGGCGTGGACTTGTGCGATTGCTGAACTTAGCTCAGGACTGTGAGCCTCAGTTCAGTAATTGCCTCCATCTGCTGCTGGTTGCTGGTCCCATGATGCTCCTTGTAGCTCCGGAACTCCACCTGTGATTCCGATGGGGGACAAGAAAAGGAAGTCACACATTTTCGAAAACGTGATATCCTGGGGATCTCGAACCCAGACTGCAAAGCCCGTCCATCCTGCAGCGCATCACGTTCTTGATGAAGCTTCTCACACTCCATGTCTTTGGCCTGAGCAGGCAGTATGCAGCAAGCACATCGACAACTGGTCCAGTCCCTGCGCCGCATTCCAAGAATTCTAGGAACTTGACGCTGGCCACAGCTCTCAGACTTGCCAAGTCCTGCATTGCATGGGATTAGAAACTCGCTGCAAGGACAGCGGAAATGAAATGAAATCCATTGAAATCTCATACTTCGGGGCAGAGACTGATCCTCTCGGAGCGTGCTGACTTTGATCTTCGATTGTGCAATTTCTTCCTGCATGTAAGGTGTTACTGTCTCTGCCTTCCGACTCATGGAACACATGCGAGCCTGAAGTGCAGCTTGGTGCTCAGAAGCGCGCTCGGTCCTGCTCAGAGCAGACGGCTTCTGCGACAAAACAACATTGTGCAACATGCCCGGCAAAAACCCATCAATGGATTTGCAACCGAAGTGCTGGAGATCTCTTTCTGTCTCAGCATGCTGCAGCATCTTCCGCAGCTCTTGCAGCTGGTCCCTGCGCACCGCTGGAGTCAGTGTGCTTCTGCGCACAAAGCATGAAAGCTGCGGCCTCATCAGCGCCAACTCTGACTCCGTGCGATGTCGCCTTGAGGGCAGACTTGGCAGCAAATAGTCGCAGCTGCAAGATGCTGCCAACACAATCCGAGGACATCCGGTGCCGAGAGGTGTAGACGAAGAGATTCTCCAAGACCCGAACTCCCATTGAAGTTGTTCGCTCGTGCTGTCACGAAGAAACTGAAGTGATTGCAAGGTCTCGTGCAGGGTTGTCTCCTGCAGCTCTCCATGTGCAGTGCACCGGCTCTGCGCGGAGCGGCGTCCTTAGAGCTTAGCTGCTGTTGCAGCACGTCCGTGGCTTGTCTGAAGGAACTCTCCTTCGGTCGGACGCAAGGGTTGGCAAGAACACATGCAGCGTTTGGGGATCGCCTTCTCTTCTATCAAAGCTTGGTGCTTTGTCTTGGCTTCACATAAGGCCTCCTTCATCTGCTTCTCCTGAAACAACCAGGACAGACTCTTTGTCTTCTCACTTGGGCGCTTTGATACGCATGAAATGTTGGAAATCTTCTCCCTCTACACCTGGCCGGTGAGGCCCAGGGCGCCACTCCAATAGAGAGACTCTTCATGTTCAGGAGGTGGCCGTCAAGGACGACTTGTATACACCCCGGCTATCGTTGCAAGGCTTCGCGGGCTCTGGCAAGCTACAGGTGCCCTGCTGCCTGCTTCCGAAAAGACCTCTCGCTGTCTTCGTGGCTTGTCTTCAATGCCTGAAGGCTTTGTCTTGCGTGATGCTCCTCGCCAACAAGTACAAGAAAACGGTCAGGCAAGCAGTCGAAGTGCAGCAGAGTCCAGCCTTATCAGCCAGCTCTCGCTTCAATGCACAAAGCGCTGCTTCTGCTGCATCTTCCTGCTACGGGACGCATGCAAACTAAGGCCACAGGCTTCGTCTGCTCGATCTCATCAACGAGTCGACATACTCAAGTATGCGTGCCGACACTCCTTGAGTTTGTACTCCTGCTCCTTTTCGGACATCTGCAGTTGGTGTGCCGCAGTGAGGTGTTCAATGAGCTCGTTGAGTTTGGCCTCCTGTGGCAGTGGAGTCATTTGCCCAACAACTAGTGCTAGCACGAAATCCGTCCTTGCTCTCGAAGGTTGCTTCGCGTTGGTCGAGCGCCGACCGGTGTGCTTCCTTCAGGCTTTCAATAGCCTTGTGCGACTCATCCTCCTGCCAGATGAAATGGCAATCCAGGTTTGCAAAGAATTTGTTCAGCATATCGCATCTCTTGAACAGGTTGAAAGCTCTAAGTCCTTCTCCGTCTGGATTTTCTGCATTTCCGCGATTTCTGCCGCGTGTTCAGCTTTGGCATCTGCCAAGCAATCCTTCACCCGTTGCTCCTTCAAGCAGAATGCCCACGAGCCTTCCACTGCTCCACTCCCCACAAACGACCAGCCTGCCCGTTTAGTTGGGCATCTTTCGCTTGGATGACTTCTTCCAGCTGCTTTATTGCCTTTCCTGCCTCGGAGTCCTCATTTGCACGAGGAGGGAGGGAGCCTGGGCTAACTTCTGGGGCTTCTGCAGCGGTCGGGTGTTTCCCCTCCAGAAGCATGTCCTTTGATTGCAGTGCCTCTTCCAACTCGTTAAGGCGGTGCTGGTGCTCGTGTTGCAAAGCGTCTTTGGCTTTGTTGTAGTCGGCCTTGGAAAACACACAGCCTCTGCCCCCGAGCCTTCTTGCGAGGTGTGACTGTGACAGCATCAACGCCAAGGCATCAGCCAAGAGAGCCGCTTCCTTCTTTCTGTGAGCTTCGACGAGCTGTTCCTTGGCCTGTCGTGGCAAGTAAAGCGTGCCCATCCAACTCTGCTTGAAGAAGAAAAAACACCTCTATCTGTTCAATCCTACAAAAAGACTGTCGGTGCCGTGGCGAGGACCGAACTCTCGTAAGTAGCGTCTCCATGACACACACTGGGGGGAATCACAAACAGTGGCGCTCCCACAGCGCTGCCAGTCTTCATCACCGCACGCAGCAGTGTCATGCTGAAGCATCGGCGATGCGAAGCCACCGCTCTACTTTGCACTATGTTAACTATTGCAGCATGCAGCAACTGCGCACACTTTGGCATTTCTTTCAGGTAGCAGGTAGCATTCGTTAGCATTCTGCGTCAGCAACATCTACAGAAGTCGGAGGCTGGCTGCCTGCATCGTCTCGTCGACCTGACGACGCAGCGTGGTTGCTACCTGTCACAGCATAGACAATGGGTGACGACAGTAGATACTGCTGATTCGACCCCATCTTGAAGACTCTTCAGGAAGTGGAGCTTCTCGGCGCCCGCACTCTACTTAGCGGCGGCGTGGCACAGAAGTTGGAAGGTAAAATGTGGAGTCTGGAATCAAGTGTCTTGACATCGACATGCAAGGCCTCTTCCATCTGTCGGCGATGCCTGTCCGACATGTCCTCGCATCTGCGGCGTGCAGCCGCAGCCTGTTCGTTGGATTCATGGCGAGCTCGAATCCATGTTGGCCCTCACCCTATACTGTGTTAATCTGCAGGGAAGCCGCATCTTCTGCGTGAGCAGATGCCGTTGCCCTGCGGCGTGGTGCTGAACCACAGGAGAACCTACATCCTCCGACGCTTCTTCCTTCGGCCTTGCTTTTTCCAGGTCTTGCCCAAGACGAAACACTCGGCTGGACTCTTCGGACAACTGCTTTGCGAGGAGTGCTTCTCGGCCTGCCAGTATTGTTGACCAGGCGCAAGGTGCAGTTCGCAGCACTTGCTTCGAAACTCGCCTGCGGCCTCTTTCTGCACTGAGGCCAGCTGTGCTGCTGCCTCCAACGTGTCAAGTCATCTGAACTTCTGAGAAGGCCTCTATTGCATGAAGACGCCTTGCATGGATCCTGAATCCCGCTTGGCTGTGCATGAAGCAGGCTGCACAGAAGCAAGAGCGAGAGAGCGAGCAAGAGACATACAGACAAAATGAAGACGTAATATGAGGGCAACAATATGAAGGGAAAGAGCACCAGTTCAGGCATCCGCGTTTGTTCGTATTGGGACTTGACTATGACCGAAACTTAGCAACCAACCTCGGGTCACGTATGCAGCCGTAACTACACTCCGCCGGAGCCTGAACAATATCTTAGTGCTTGCGCATGGCCTCCTTGAGCTCGAGTTTGGAGGAACACAACCTCAGTTTTGCACTCGGCGCAACACGCAGCTGCAAGAAAACTGCGGTTACACCCGCTTACTCCCGCCATGCTGCAATTACGTCACTATATGTGACTATGTTTGTTGCACCTCCTGCCTGTAATGCATCTTTCAGCAACCGCGGCAAACGCTCCCGTTTCCTAGTTGCGTCGACCTCGTCAGTCCTCGTTCTCAAGGCACCAAATCGGGTGCTCTGCCTAGCCCTATATCTGGTAGTCTCACAATGGAATGCGCTCCGGCACGCGTTTATGTTTACGAGTCGGGCCCGCAGCACGCTTCAGTGAGTCCACTCCGTCAAGATGGTTGCGAGGGTGGGAGCTGTCGTGCATCGAGCCGGAGTGGTGCAGCGCTGGTCACGCTTGTTACCCCTTGTACACATCGGTGAAACTCCTCGTCTCAGGTGAGGAGCTGAGTTGAGGGAGTGGCGAGGACACGAGCGCGGCCTAACCCAAGGACGTCACCTCCGTTCCGAAGGCTTAAGGTACATAGCCCGCACAGCAACAACAACGCAACATAACACAAACAAGCAGAAACAGCCGCATACGAAGGACGACACGAAAGTTGACAAGTACCACCTCGATGGCCAGGAAAAATGACCACGAGCAGTGGGGATACTACAGCGGTGACCAACTGCCCCGCAACTGATTTGACCTCTGCTGTGAGCAAACATGAGCAAACGCTGTCGCGAACGAGCCGACTGCGACGGTGAAATATCAGGATGGCACGTGGGCCGCATCTGGGGTCCTCGAAGGGAGATGCGCAAGGGGACTCACCAGAAGCCCAAAGGAACATAGCACATTTTCTCGTCAAAGGCGGATAGATGTAGGGATGCAACTTAGGTGTTGGGAGGACTAGGGCTAGGGGGGCTCAGATCCTGTTACAGGGCTGCGCTCGCAATGGAGCTGTCGATGCACTGATGTGGAATTTCACACATGCTTAGGTACTGGCGATACTGCTGGCTGTAAGAGCAGCTGAGACCACTGAGGTGGCCACCTTGCATTCACGTCTTGCTCAGCAGCTGCCAGCGCCTCAATCACAAAAAGCGGCTGTGCCATGCAGCTCAAAGGCAGCCGAGGGCTTGTTTTCTGGTGCTGTTTGCAGGCAGTGCCTGCCAGAGTACATCCAGGCCGCATGCTCGTGTCGCATAGGACAATGGGGCGAGTCTGCAGGAGTAGGCTTACCTCCGTCCAAGCCTTGAAGGAAGAATGAGAAAGCTGGTTGGAGGTGGAGCTGACGAGACCCGTGAAATCTTGCAAATGCTGTCGCTTGCCAAGTCTGGGGTCAGGAAACGTTCAGAAAAGACTGACAACATTGCCTCAGAATCTTTCGAGACGAACTCAGCTCGGTCAAACTAGTCAACCTTGGACATGTCGTCTTTGTCGCCTCTGCCTGCCTGAACTCCAAAACCTCACACGACGGGCGGTAGTCAACGATGCGAGGATAACTGGCAAATCGCACACTCAAGCCCTACGCATGAAACCCCAAAAAGGTGAGGATTAGGAGTCTGTGAGTTTGGTGTAAAGTATTCTGCTGCGAGTCCAAGAATCTAAGGCACCGACCTCCGCCAAAGCTTTGGCTTTTAACCGTTGGTCTGATAGCGCATTCTTCAGGGGGCAGATCATCGCCTGGAGATCTGCAATTTTGTCCTTGAAGTCGTACTTGCCAGCAGTGGGCTTCAGTTTCAAAACCTGGGCCCAGTACACCTAAAACCCCTGAGACAGGAGAGAGTATGTCAAGGCGACAAACTATGTTTAGGTTGCGGCAGGAAGGATGCAATCTGGATCTCCCAAGGTATCCCTCAAGACTTTCTGCAGATCGATGCCGCAGGAGGTTGGAGCGTCTTTTCTTATGGCCTGCCCATGAAGAAGCTGCGAAGGATTGCTTCGACTGCACCAACGGACTGGCCTGAACTGTTTTGGTCTGCGCTGGTCGCAGCTTAAAGCCAAATCTGGCCCGATCGCTGTCGCTGGGCCTATCCTTCGCAGATTTGGCATCATTTCTGGTCATGTCTGTGCCAGGGTTCTTGCCACTCCTGCACGTTCGGAGCAGTGGGCTGAAGGTTCTCATCATTTTCGAACCTGATGGCACGATACCGCCCAGAAATCTGTTACCTGCGAACGATTGCTGATGTTTGCAGAAGTGCAGACATGCCACACTTCTTCGCTGGATGCCATCTTGAGGCAGCAATCCTACAAAATGCTGAGCCAAGATGCAGCATAAGTGTCCATGAGTTTTCATAAACTAATTTCCGTTCCGTGAAGTCGTATTTATGACTAGACCTGATTTGCGTAAGTCTAGCCCTCGCTGCAAGTAGATCCTTCTGAAGGCGCCTGTTCCGAGAACCTGGCGCCTTTGCAATTCGACGTTTATTGGTTTTGGACCGGCTACGCGCTTCTCCAAAGATCTCCCAAGCCGACATGTCCCTGGACTCAATCAGGTGATGTCTCGCTGTCCCTTGTGAAGCTTGCTTCTCCTGACGGTTGAACATGAGCCCAGCCTGCCCTGGCGATTCTTGAGTGTGGCATCCGGTGGCACAAGTGCACTCCTGATAAGACAAGACTTGCTCCGTTTTGCGATGGTGCTCCGTGCAAATCGGCTGAAACGCGCACAGGCAGGAAACTGCTACACACCAACGAAGCGCTATGTCGTTTGGCTTTGTGCGGTTTGCTGGAGCGGTTGTTCGTGCTATGCTTCTTAACTAGTGCTACTACCTTCGATCACGATCTCTACCGCGATCACGGCTTCGGCTGCGACTTCTCCGTCTCCTGCGAAATCTCACGGATGCAGCTTTTTCGGCGGGCCAATTCTCTGCGGCTCGGCTCATGGGCTTCCGGCCTCCCTCTGTCGCGGCTGTTGCTTCGACTACGCCTCAGCTTTTGCGAGTGGAAGCTGCTAAAGGTAGAATCGCAAAGTGCGCGCAGCTCGCGTCGATCTGCCAAGTCATTGGCCGGCGACTTCGACTTCGGCTGTTGCTGCCGGCGGCAGCTGCAACCTGATCTTGGGGTCTCTATCACGCAGACGAGCATGCAAGAGAAAAGCCCCGAGCCGCTCTCTTCAGTCGATCCTTCCGGGAGTAGGTCGCTAAAGCGCCATCCGCGATCTGAGCATCAACGGCCTGTCGCGATCGTTCCACGACGAGGTCTGCAATTACTGCTGGCAAAGAGGTGCCCCCGGCTTCTGGCCTTGCGGCCGTTCTCGGTGAGCTCCTTGGCTCTGGCGACCAGATTTCCGCCGATGGCTTCGGTGAGGCTTTTGGAGCCAACAGCCTCAGCAATCAACATGCTCAGCTGGTCCAGACGGACGCAGCACTAGCCAGAGGAGACTTGGTGCTGGACCATAACTTTCGCCAGCTGTACTACCTGATCTGCTGACAAGCGAGACTTTTTCTCCAGCTCTCGACGCTGCTTGGTGACCTGGGCGCGTGTCTGGCGAGTTGTTCATGTTCGCTGGACCAGCGACTCAATTAATTGAGCCAGTCGCTTCGTCGTCGCTGTCCCAGGCACCCCCAGAGCCCTGGTAGCAGGGCATGAGCGTGAATGGCCCAGGCTTGTCCATCTTTTCCTGCCTTCGTCCACTCCTTCAGTGTCTCCGACCAGAAATCAACCAACCTGGGGAGCGAAAGGACTGTATCCATGTTCACACCAGAAGCATCGGCGCACTCCTCCATCTTGATCCAAGTTTGCAACTCTCGCAGAATTGAAATTCTGAGAGATCAGCTTCGCCACAAGGCCATGCTTGGCACCGAGGCCGGTGACCAGCCCCTGGCGTGCTTGTCAATCAGGACACCATGCACAGCTCAAAGTTCACAAAACTGACGAATGTGACCTGTGACAGCATCAGCAGCTGCGCCGGTGGAAACACAGATATTCTGCCTCAGCAAACGGTCCCAGGTCGGGGGCAATCCGCGAGCATGTCTTTGGCATTTGCTTCGACACATGATGCGAACGTCATGCTGAGCTTCAGTCGATCGATGGCTTCTTCCGCAGCTGCCTGACACGATCACGGAACAGCTGGCTCTTAATCGAATTCCACGTCATGGCCTCCAACAACTCAGAGCAACCATCCCCCGCAGTTGCCAAAACCAGCCTTGGGTTCCATGATCTTCCACAGCACCGTGTGCAGGCAAAGACTTTCCGCTCAGCACTACATACTTCAACTGCCGCCAGAAAGCTTGATAACGTCAGCTGCAGGTAATGATCCCAGTTCACTTTTCAGAGCTTCCGCCTCAGCTCGTGCACATGTCGAGCAGATGCCGACGGCTTTTTAAGGGCCCGACTGCTTGCTTCAGAAGATATGCCTTGTCTTCGGTGTTCAAGGCCTGCGATCGCCGATACAGTAGCCCATGCCTTTCTGTGGCAGGACGCACGGCAGTTCTCGAGTGCTGATGCTTGTGCCTTCTTGGCTTTCGCCATCGCTAGGAGCAGGCGAACGAGGTCACTCACGGGCCACGTGGTCGCATTTGCCCCAACGGCACGGGCCTCACAACCAAAACAGTTTTTGATGGCTCAGGCTGTGATCCACTGGTCCACTCGGCCATGGAGACTAAGCACATGTTCAGCCTGCAGCAAGAAGCCATGCAAACTGCGGCCCAGACTACTGCACCAATCACCGGTGCCAAGCTGGTGCTCTTGGTGGATGCCACAGCAAGATCCAGAAGCCGTGTCGGCTGGAGCTGCGTGCTCCCGAGCCTGGCCGGGACATGGAGGGCACTGCACCTCTGCGAAGCCGCGACTCAAGGGGTCGCTGGGAGCACTTGGTCGCCAAAACCTGCGTAGCATTGGCCTAGCGGCAGGGAGCTCTTGCAAGCACATGCCTCTTGTAGCAATTGAGCCGGGAAGCTAGGGCGTCAGAGCTGAAGCTGCGCTCTGCGATGGCAAGCACAACATCCACCAGCACATCAGCCTGCAAATCGTTCAGTAGACATGTCACGCCCGCTCAGTCCGAAGCGTGCTCTGAAAGCGCCTGAGAAACAGGAGCCAGACGAGCCAGGCGGCCCGAAATGTCCTCCAAAGCGGCACCTGCAGAAGCTATGGTTCGCAGGATCTCCAGCTGCTCCTGGAAGGCAACTTCAACTAAGTAACTAACCCAGTTGCAGATGGCTGGGCTGCTAGGTATGCACGGCAGAGACAACACACGCAGGCTTCATTCAGGATGACAACGAGAAACGGATGTCGAACCGGGGAAGCAGCATGCAGTGGAACAAGCCCTAAGTGCTGCTCACGAACCCCCCTTACAGCGGTCGACAAGAGGAAGCAGCAGCACTGCATCCACTGCCAGCAACGGTAAACCGATTGTGTTTCATGGCATGGTGACAAGGACGAAATGTACCCTCAGGAAAGCAAGCTCCGGTTGCATCCGAAAGGTTGGGGGGACTCATGGCTCTCGGAGGTTGGATCCATTCGGCTCAAGCAAAAGTAAGAAACCCTGCAGTTCGGCAGCTGCGTCCTCGGCTGACGGCTCGGGCTGTTTGGTGTCCATCATCAGAAGTGCGGAAGTTGCATAAGTGTTGGCCTCGGGAGATAAGCTAAGAGCTTGTCGCCACACCTGAACCGCAGCCATGCAACGAAGTTTATGGACAGGGAACTCAGGCCGGAACCACTTCGACACAGCTAGATGAACCGGCATGTCTCACGAACTCCAGAGCTTGTTCTAGCCCCACACTTGCAACGAGTGGCTGGCACCTCAGCCCACAGATGCCAACAGGACCGGATCAAGTTTGATCGCTGATGACCCAGAATTGATTCAAAAGATCCGCTTGCGGGATGCATCTCAATTGTTGCCTTCTTTGTGCGATGGCACCGTCCAATCGCGGGTCGGCATGCTGCTACATACAATTGTTCGCAGCACTCCGCATTGTGCTATGCTCCGACACGGTCCACATGCGTGTGTCTCTGTGTGCGGATTCAGTGTTAGGTCCACTTTGGTAGGTTGTGCTGGTAGCATGCAGTTTGATACCTTTCGCTTCACACATAAGCATCTATACGCAACCCGATGCGTATGAATTCGTGCATCCATGACGGATTGCTGGTAGGACTTCCAGCCGGTTTGAGGGGGGATGAGGCAATCAGAAATGTGGCGCTACTTGGATTTAGCGTGAGGCTTGCTCTAATGGAGTCAGACGGTGACGGATGATGAAGGGGAGGGCGAGACCTGTCCACTCCGCACATGCACTTCTGCCAGAACCCAATTTCTTCCTCCAGATTCCGCATTATCAAACATCTGGATTCTGAAAGAAGTGCGCCAAGCAAATCTGGAAATTTGCACTCATGCGTCGCGCACTTCTGCAATTCGAGAATCTGACATCTGGAAACCCAAGACTGGTAAATCATATAAAATGACTAGCAGCTGCTCGAAGTAGATGCGACGGTGGGGGGACGGCACCGTTATACAACAGCTTAAACAACAAACGAAAGCCACACAAGACATGGTGCGAGCTTCAGATTACCACACATTTGCCAGGTTTTACTGTGCTTACTGCGCACATACCAGTGGAGCGGGAGCTGTATGTCTATGGGAGGATGACCGACCGAACATACGTACGGATTTGAACATGTATGTACATGACATATATATATATATATATAGATGCATAAACGAATACGCAAATGCAAACATAAATGAGCGCGTAAAGAACTCTGCATCTATATATGTATATATATATATATATATATATATAATGTATGCATGCATGTATGCATGTACATACGTGGTGCACGCATGTATATGTGCATATATATATATATAGCATGTGTATGTTATATAACATTATATAGCATACAATATGTTCATTTCGTATTCTGTATTCTGCTCTATACTACATAATGCGTAACATATTCGATGTTGTGTATTCTTGTGTTATATATATCACATTGTACTGTATACTACACTTCCTTACAGACTATCGATAGATGTGTTTACGTTTTACGTTTTATTTTGCGTTTTGCTACCCTGCCCGTCCCCCCTTCACCCGCATTTTCATTGCTGTTCTGCATTATTGAACCATTCATCTGTTCATTGCCTCCTATGATTGGTTAAGTGCCTATCATTGCCTATCCATTAATCACTATGCCTTTCATTTCCACCATATGCCTGGCTATGACGCTTTGCCCCCAAAAAGTTACCCCATGTGATGGGGTAGGCCACCGAACCATGACCCTTTGAAGTAAACCAATAA